AAAAAAAACAACAAAAACGTGTTGTAGAAGTTAACCCCCTCCAAAAATACCTTCACAGCAAGACCTAGATTAGTGTGTACTTGAATTACCGGCCACTATGGCCTAGCCAACTTGACATTGAGGCCAACAACCATCCCAGGCGGCAAGACTCCCCAAACTGAGGTACAGATCGGTGTGATGTCTTTCAAAATCTCAGCTGCCTTTTCAGGCAAGTGTTATGTCCCACTCTGGTGCGGACTGTTGATAACGGGGGAGGGCTGTGCCTTTCGGGGGGCTGGGGGTGTATGGGGGGGAGTCTCGGTGCCTTTTTAAAAGAGTCTTTTTTTTTTTTTTAATATTCTGGAGCTGGATGGTGCTAACAGTTGCCCAACACTGTGAGCACTTTGTGCCACTGAACTGTATGCTAAGAAATGGTTAAAAGGGTACGTTTTACCATCATGCACATTTTCTCATGAAAACTAAAAGTAAGCTATAGTAAAAGTAGGCAAAGGACCTGAGTAGACATTTCTGCAAAGAAGATACACGAGCGGCCAAGAATCAGCTGAAAAAAAAAAATGCTCCACATCGTTTGTCATCGGGGAAATGCAAATCAAAACCACAATGAGATACCGCTTCGTACCCGCTGTGGTGGCCGTAAAAAAATTTTTTTTCTTTTTTTTCAATGGAAAATAACAAGGGTTGGGAGGGACGTCAAGAAATTGAAACTCTCACACGTTGCTAGGGGCCATGTAAAACACCGCAGCTGCTGTTCCGGCCCCAAATATATACACAGAATGATTGAAACCAGGCATTCAAACAAAAAGGTACAGAGGAATGTTCTTATCAGCAATATTCGCCCCCCGTCAGAATGTGGAAATGACCAAATGTCCACCAACTGATAAGTGGGTGAATGAGACGTTGTGCATCCACACGGCGGAATACCGTTTGGGCACACAGTGGAAGAAAGCACAGGCCCACGCTACAATGTGGGTGACCCTTGAAAACATTGTGCTCCGGGCGCCTGGGTGGCTCAGTTGGTTAAGCGTCCGACTTCGGCTCAGGTCATGATCTCACGGTCTGTGAGTTCGAGTCCCGCGTCAGGCTCTGTGCTGACAGCTCAATGCCTGGAGCCTGTTTCAGATTCTATGTCTCCCTCTCTCTCTGCCCCTCCCCTGTTCACGCTCTGTCTCAAAAATAAATAAACGTTAAAAAAATTAAAAAAAGAAAAGAAAACATTGTGCTCATTGAAAGAAGACTGACACACGAGGTCCCATAACATAGGATTCCATGTGTAGGTTATTTCGAGAATAGGCAAATCTACAGTGGCAGAAGGCTGATTCGTGGGGGCCTGGGGCTGGGAGGAGTGGGGAGCGACTTCTAATGGGTATGGGGTTTGTCTACACATGTTCTGGAAGCTGCTTGTTGTGATGGTCACACTATTTTGATGTACTAAATGCCACGAAATCATAGAGTTTAAAATAGTTGAAACACTAGGGCTCCTGGGTGGCTCAGTCAGTTGAACATCCAACTCTTGATTTTGGCTCAGGTCGTGATGCCAGGGCCATCCCCCTGCACCTCTCCTTCACTTGCACTCTCTCTCTAAAATAAAAAAAAAAAAAAAAATGGGGGGGCACCTGGGTGGCTCGGTCAGTTGAATGTCTGACATCAGCTCAGGTCATGATCTCACAGTTCATGGGTTCGAGCCCTGAATCAGGCTCTGTGCTGACTTCAGATTCTGTGTCTCCCTCTCTCTCTCTGCCTCTCCCTCACTTGTGCGCTAACCGCCCCCCCCCCCAAAATAAATACATAAACATTTTGTAAAAAACGAAAAAAAATTTAAATAGTTGAAATCTTAAATTCTGTATTGTGTGCATTTTATTTCAATTAAAAAAAAAAAAAAGTAAAGCAGGGACTCACCTATGCCCTGTTAGGACACAGCCAAAGGGGGCCACATGGCTTTTCATGACATCTGTGGTTGTTTCTGTTCCCACTGAAGAGTCTGCTGTTGTGCTCAACCCAAAAAGTCTCGGCACGAGATCCGGGCCGTGAAGACACAGGCGCCGATACCCCGGAATCACACGGGCAGACAGAAAGGGAGAGCCGCCCTCGGGCTGTGCTCTGAGACACAGAGAAGAAGGAGCTGCTTGGAGAATGCAGAGAACGATCCCATTTTTTTGTTGTTAAAAGAGGGGGGAAAGATACACACACACACACACACACACACACACACCCTGGGAAAATGCCTTGACACTTTCTCAAGGATAAAGAACACCGCCAACGGGAGCCTCTGAGTAGGGATTCTTTGTCTCCTTTTGTTCCCGGCCATTTTTCTGATATTTACAGGACACATACAAATTGCTTGTTTAAAAAAGCTAATCTTCAACGAAGGAACTCAGTAGTCAGAAATAGCCTCCACTGGCTGGTTTGTGCTATTCATAACAACAAGTTCTGGTAACTAATGTTTCCATAACACCTTTTCCATTTTCAAAACATGGTTGCTGCACACATCACATGACTCATCCTTGAAGAAGCCCTTTGGAGTAGCGAGTCTTACTGCTGAGACACGCAGATGGGGAAGTAAGGCCAGGGGACCAGAAGCTTGCCCGTGGTGGTGGTGGTGGTGGTGGTGGTGGTGGTGGTGGTGGGAAACACCAACTGTGCCCCCGCTGGCTGCAAGGCCCCGGGCAAAACCCTCGTACGTTCGTCATCTCATTGTCTCCTTGCAAAAAACCCTCATATTCTCGAGATGGGGAGATTGAGGTCCGGAGAGGTTCCAGCATCTGGGCCACCTGTGGAGACAGAGGCGTAAGAGGCACAGGGCTTCTGTGGGTGCCCATGGTGCGGGAAGAACAGGCAGGGGGACCTGGGCTGGGCTGGAGGAAGTCGGCAGAACTGTCTTTTCACACTGGAGAGGGCACGGGCTGGCTTCCACTCATACAGAACTGCCTATTTCTCTTTTGTGGGTTGGGGCTCTGTAGGAGAATATACCGGGGGGAAAGGCTCTGAGGCCCTAGCCTGAAAGCTCTCAGTGATCTGGAAGGCTCTAAGCTCCAAGAAGCTCTCCACAACATGGGGGCTAAACACAGGCATGGAGCCAGGCAGCCTGGGTTTCAAACGCCACTGCCACCGTGACCAGCTGCTGGGTGGCCTTTGGCAACTCGCTTAACCTCTCTGGGCCTCAGCTGTCACCTGTATCAAGTGGAAATGGTAATACTTGCTCATAGAGTTGTTTCTGTTCCCACTGAAAACTCTGCTGTGGGTGCACCATGGGACCATGTGTCAAATAAATGGGACTCTGGGATTTATCTTCCACTCACCCCTGCACGGCCCGCCCCCGCCCCCTCCGCCGGCCTCCAGTCCAGAGCTACGCAATGGATGTGTCTGTCCACGGCTCCCCACCTGGCTTTCAAAGGGACGTCCTTGTCTGCGACTTTCACCATCGCTGGGCTCTTTCTGCGTTTTGTGGAATTTGAACCTGAACACGAGTTTTCATCCATCAGCTCCGGGGCGCCTGACCTCAACTGCAGAACTTGGTTCAAGGCTGGTTTCCCCTCCGGCCAGAAGGAGACGGGCAGGCCGGGGGCTGGGCTTGTGGGTCCGGGGAAGCCTGGAATTGCCCCACCTCCAGAGGGTCTGACCAGGGCTCAGGGGTGGGTTGGGGGGGGCTGGTGGGCGGTTTGAGGAAACGGAGCAGTGGTGATGCCTTGAGTCCGGCACGAGGCCTGGGCCAAAGTTTCCTTGTTGGCTCCTTCCCAGGAGCAAGACCTCAGCCGGCCCCTCCCTGCAGACTCCCCCGCTCTCTCAGCTGTCCTGCCAGCTCCCAGTGTGGCCATGACAGTGAGAAGAAGTCACGAAGGGAAGCAGCGTGCCAGGGTCCCCCCCCCCAGGCGGGGGCGGGGGGGGGGGGGTTCAGAGCTGCTATTACTGACCTGCTATTGTTCTTAAGCGCCCCTTCCAGCAAACACAAAAACCACATGGGGCGCCCGGGTGGCTCAGTCGGTTGAGCGTCCGGCTTCGGCTCAGGTCAGGATCTCGCGGTCTGTGAGTTCGAGCCCCGCGTCGGGCTCTGTGCTGCCAGCTCAGAGCCTGGAGCCCGCTTCGGATTCTGTGTCTCCCTCTCTCTCTGCCCCTCCCCTGCTCGTGCTCTGTCTCTCTCTGTCTCTCAAAAATAAATAAGCATTAAAAAAAAATTTAAAACAAAACAAAACAAAAAAACCCCACAAGTCCCATGAGAGTGCCTCCCCTTGTTCTCGAATCAATTTTGATCCGCTGGCTGATCCTTTGCACTGGCTGTCCCCTCTCTAAAATGCTATAAATGAGGAAGCAATCAAGACTCAAGGTTTTTGCCACTGGTGTCAGAACTGGGATTTGAACCTAAGGTAGGACGACGAATAAATTCTAACGTGAACTGCTCGAATTCTCACTCTAATTCACCGCAGCCAAGCCCCCCCCCCCATTCCAAATCGTGCGCCTCTGTGCAGGGAGCCAACTTGTCCCGCCTGGGAGCTGACAAGCCAAGTCAGTAGAGCGCGAAGGCCCTAAGGCCCCTGGACAGAAATCCCCAGCAGCAGGGAACAGCTGTGGCATCAGGGCTGAAGAGGGTCCCCTCGAGTGACAAAAGAGGAAGCAAAGAAGCAGAAAGGAGAAGCGGACTGCAGCCCTGCCTCGTTTCTCAGACCCACATAGGTAGTTCCCAGCATCGCGAGAACGAAACAGAAGTGAAATCCGGTAGAGTCATCGGACTCAGGGCGTCCGGGGTTGGGGGGCTGTGGGGAGGAAATGATCCTACCGTATCTCCCTGAGCCCCTCTCTGGGCCAATCCCGGCGGCCGTGGAGATGTTGGAGAGGCGCTTGCTTGTAGACCTGTGGGCGATCCGCACTGAGAACTCACTCACTGCACAGATGTCCCGGTGGCTGGGCACAGATGGGTCACCCCACGGAGCTTCCACAGCCCAGAGTGGAGACGATGCAAATGGCTATTAAAAGGGAGCCGGACAAACCCATCATGAAAAATCAGTGCGGAAACTCCTCTGCCACCATTTAGGAGGACAAAATGGCCCCAGCCCCGTCTGTCCAGTTCCAGAGATCGGGCTGTGAAATCCTCCAGGGGCAAAGACAAGCTGTAGAGCCGGGAGGGGGTGGGGTGGGGCTGGGCAACGGACACCGAACGGGAACATGTGTGGTACCTGCTTCCTCGAAGGTCACGCCAAGCGGTGGGACATGAAGCCATATGACTGGGTCATGACCAGCCACCTTGCCTTTTAAACAGAACAGGATGGGATGAGATAGGACAGGACAGACAGGATAGGACGGGGAAGGACAGCATCCAAGAGACAACCCCAGATGGCATTTCTTATAATAAGTAGCATTGCATAAGTTTTCTATTTAGTTATACGCCAGCATCCGCGTATACTGGGTTACGATGCAGAATCTATTTTTTCACTGCGGCTGGGAGCTAAAAAAAAAAAAAAAAAAAAAAAGTTTGAAAACCCTGGAAACGGAAAAAAATGAAAAGAAAGAAAGGACTCAAGGTGGCCCCCTCTGAAGAGAAGGAGGCCACGGGAAGCAGCCTTACTTTATACAATTCCGTGCTTTTTTTTTTTTTTTAAACAACGAGCACGCATTGCTGGGCTTTTGCGATAACATAAAGAACTTTTAAAACCTTTTAGAGAACATAAACATGCCTGCCTCAGTCTCCAGGAAAGAGGCTGGGCTGTCTGAACTGTCAACTAGTTTTTGATGTGGAAAAGGCCAAAGCCCTGTCCCGAGGGGCGCTCCCTCCTAGAGGGTTTCCAGGGCCTCCCCGGGTTTTTTCCACTCACCCTTCTCTTCCCCTCCAGAAAGCCACGGGACCATCCAAAAAGGAAACACGCCTTAAGACGTCAGTCTTCATTTTCGAAAACGGAACAGGCGCCCCCCACCCCGCAATGGCCATCGTGTTTTCTGTTTTCTGTTTGGCATTACAGAGTCCATATTTTCCATAAAGAGCCTCCCTGACTTCATTTTTAAAATGCCTACAAGGGGGGCGCCTGGGTGGCGCAGTCGGTTAAGCGTCCGACTTCAGCTCAGGTCACGATCTCGCGGTCCGTGAGTTCGAGCCCCGCGTCAGGCTCTGGGCTGATGGCTCGGAGCCTGGAGCCTGTTTCCGATTCTGTGTCTCCCTCTCTCTCTGCCCCTCCCCCATTCATGCTCTGTCTCTCTCTGTCGCAAAAATAAACGTTGAAAAAAAAAATTAAAAAAAAAAAAATAAAATGCCTACAAGGGTGACAACCTACCGGTCGCACCCAATGATTTCCTATTGTACTCGTCACCTTGGTAGATATCCCTGGGTGTGTGGTCTTTCTTTTCTCTTTTTTTTAGGATTAGTTCCTTCGGGCAAATTCCCAGAAGTGTGATCGCTGGACAGGGAAGCGTCCACCTTTCCAGGCCCCTGATACACTCCGCCGAGCTGCTTTCCGAAAGAGCTGGGGACTCACGCCTTTTCAAGGAACTGCCCGCTGTGGGGGTGGTTAGGTCATCGCCACCTTTGTCTCCCTGCGGGACACATCTGTGACCCAGGTGCCTGTGTCACGGAGCCCGGAGGAAGGCGGGAAAAAGCATTCCCCTCTCCGCCACCAGGCCAGAGACTGGAACCAGCGGGTCTCGAGGACTCGAGAGGGCGGGGAGGGCATCCCTTCCCCACCGTGGAAACCTGGAGGCCAGGCCGGCACCATCTGGAAGCCAGGGCTGCGAAGGCGGGTGTGTTCTCTCACTGGGCCGCTTTGTGCACCGCGGGCCCCATCGGGAGGTTGCGAGCATGAAGAATGTGGCCCAGAGCACGTCACGCTGCATGTCTTGGAGGGTTTGGGCTCCTAGGACAGAAGGCCCCAGTAGGACCGGCTCAGAGACAACGCAGATGTATTTCTCACAGTTCCGGAGACTGGGATGTCCCAGGTCAGGGGGCCAGCCGATTCAGTGGCCGATGACCCGGATGTCATCATACGGTGCAAGCCCGCAGGGAGCTCCGTGGGGTCGCTTTCATCAGGGCACTGATCCCACTCATGAGGGCTCCGCCCCCATCCCCCAGTCGCCTCCCCAAAGCCCCACCTTCTCACACTATCCCGCTGGGGGTGAGGTTTCACCTTGTGGACCTGCTGGGGGGGGCGGTGGGGACACACACATCCGTCTGTCGCACTGGGCATTTCTGAGCAGAGAGGATCAGGGCCATCCGTTGTCCAGATGGGGGTACAGCTCAGCACCAGCTCTGCCTTCGGGGACCCCCACGGACCTCCTCGGGGCCTGGGGTTCTCATAGCTAAAAAAAAGATGAAAAGCTGCTGCTTTCCCACGGGTTAGCATCAAGACCAGACGACCCCGTGACCTGTGACCCAGACTCCTGCTCCCCACCTTCTCCTTAGGGCCTCGCTCATGCAAGGTGTGCCATTACCCACTTAGTTAAGGGATTGCAACCTTGCAAAACTCACATCCCACACAGCATCCACCGAGGCTTCACAGATCTCATCCAGGTCCCCCACGTCCCCTCTGCCACTGGATTTTTTTTTTTTTTTTTTTTTTTGCTTTTAATAAGCTGGTCCCGGGGAATCACTGTCCTCTTAGAGACCGCCATGACTTTGAAGCAAATCCCCGACATCGGATCATTTCATCTGCAAACAGGCTGGTTTGAGGCTCTCAAAAGATGAGGATTCCTTTTCAAAACACAACCACGAAACTACAATGCGCTGCAAAAAGAAAAAGAAAGAAAGAAAGAAAGAAAGAAAGAAAGAAAGAAAGAAAGGAACACATTGCTGAATTGCATCCAATGTCATCCAGTCTGGGTTTACATTTCCCCAGCTGTCTCATAAACATTTTTTTTTTTTTAAATCTGGCTTCTTTGAAACAGGATCCTGCCCCCTGGGCCTCCAGGACCTGGCATTCTGCTCGTCTGGCACATAGTAGGTGCTCTAAATCCTCGCTGGGTTGAACGAATAAGGCTAAAGAATTTTCGAGGGGCAGCTCCCGTTTTCGGAGCGGTTCTCAAGCTGGGCAACTCGGATGTTCCCATCTAATCCTGACAGTCGTGCTGAGGGGGAAACGCTTTCTGTGAGCCCATTTTACAGAAGACACAGCTGAGGCACAGAGAGGTGAAACGACCTGCCCCAGGCTGCACAGCAAGGAGTAACGCCCGTAGGAGCAAGTAAAGAGGGCCCAGGACATAAGCTCACTGTGCCAGAGGCTGTGATCTGCAGGGGAGGCTGTGCCGGGCTGGCCTCACCCACTCCCAGAAGCTCCCTAGCAGCATGAAGACACATGGGCGAGTGGCACAGCTTCTGAAGCCAGGAGTCAATCCCTCTTATGGACCGACACCCACGTGGGCACCCTCAGCCACATCGGTGCCCTGCAGGGGTATTCCTGACCTCTGTCTCCTCTAGGAGGACCCCAGGAATGTCCTCCTCTGGGCCCCAGAAGGAGGAACAAGGACATCTGAGACTGTCCTCTCTCCGTTTGGTCATGCAACAAATAAATACTGATCGTTACAAGATGCCACTCACTAATCGCAGGGCCTGGAGAACAAGTGAGAGCCAAGAGCAAGTCTGAGTCCGGTGGAGGACTTAAAGAGGCCACGAAATGTATTTGTAAGGGTCAGTGGGAAAAGGGTACAAAGGAAGGATGTAGAGGTTCTAGGGGCATGGGCGGGGAGCGGTCAGTGAGGGCTTCCTGGAGGAGGTGAGGCCAAGAGTGCTGAATGTAAACTCCTGAAGCTAGTGGCTGAGCCCTCTTATTATTTTGAACAATGCCGATGAGCAAAGTACTATTAACAATAATAATCATGAACAAGAATCGCGATGGGTGACAATCCCTGGATTCTGTTGGTGTGTTGGTTTACCGATGGCATCTCCCTTAGTCTTTATAATAACCCAACAGGTAGAGACCGTAAAGGTAAAGCCCATTCTAGAGAAGAGCAAACTGAGCCTCAGAATGGTGAAGTGATTTAGCCAAGTCACAGAACTCAGCAGGTGGTGACGCTGGGATTTGAACCCAGGCCCGCTAGATCATCGAGCGCCTTCCTTTCTGTTAAGATGTCCCGCTTCCCTGACAGACTGCTGGCTGAGCCCCGCCCTGGGGCTTCATGGAATCATTCAAAGTTGTCTCCCTTCTGCAAATGTGACCCTAGGTCCCTCACGAGGGGTTGGAGCATGGGCGGCCTTCAGAGTCAGAGGCCCCAGCAGCACTGAGAGCCTGGCCACTGCCCGCACCAGCTCTGCAGGGGGGAGGATCTGAGTCCTTCCTCTGGGGCATACTGACTGTGGGACCCAAGATAGGTTCTGCAGCGGCCTCTCTGAAAAGCAGGGATGACAATGGGGATGACCTTGGTGGGGGGGCTTCCGAGGCCGGAAGAACAAGGGCAAGGAGGTGGGGGCCTGTGGGACATATATTTGGGGACCAAATATGCCCTGGGACCCAGGGCATGGGGTAGGGAGACAGGGGACAGAGCTGGAGAACTCTGTTAGGGCGGGTGACTGAGCACTTACTTGGAATGAGGGCTGGAGACATGGAAACCCAAGGGTAGGGATTTTGTCTGTTTTGCTCGCTGCTACAACCCCAATGCCTAGAACAATGGCTGCCACATGGTAGCTCCCCAGTCCTCGATGGGTGAATGAATGATGGATTGCATCAATAAGTGAGTGAGTGAGTGAATGAATGAATGAGTGAGTGAATGAAAGAAAGAATAAGTGAGTGAATGAATGAGCGAATGAACGAATGAATGAGTGAGTGAGTGAATGAATGAGTGAATTAAAGAGTGAAAGAATTTGTGAATGAATGAATGAATGAGTGAATGAATGAATGAATGAGTGAGTGAACGAATCAGTGAATGAATGAATGAGTGAATATGCATTCTGACAGCAGACTTAGGGGAATACCTGGGGAGGATACAAGGAAGAAACCACTGTTCCCTAGTAGGTAGGAAATTCAACACTTTTTAAAGGGGCTGAGGGGCGCCTGGGTGGCTCAGTCGGTTGAGCGTCCGGCTTCTGCTCAGGTCATGATCTCGCAGTCTGTGAGTTCGAGCCCCACATCGGGGCTGGCAGCACAGAGCCTGCTTCAGATCCTCTGTCCCTCCTCCACTCATTCTCTCTCTCTCACTCTCTCTCAAAATAAGTAAATAAACTTTTAAACACTTTAAAACAATAAAGCGGCCAATGCTTCGAGCAAGTCTTACTACGTGAGCGAGGCAGACGTGGGAAGAGGACACGGCACGAGCAAGGCCTGGTGAGTTGACGATGGGCTGGCATCCGGAATTACTATAGGATGCAGGTGGGTGTAGAGTGGAAAGGTTGGTGGTGAGTCAGGGACGAGCGCCACGTGCCTGGGATACAGCATTTGAAGGCTGCTCTCCTGCGACGAGGAATCAGAGAAGGTTTTCAGCAGGAACACAGCAGGATCATAACTGACCGTGTCTAGCTGCAGGTGTCCCACAGCCCAAAACCTTCCTTGCACTGCTTTCCAGGGCGGGTCTGGATCCCATAGCATGTGGCCCACCCCGAAGGCTGAATCCTTCACGACGCGTACCAAATGCAGGGGTTCCGAAAGTATTTACCAAGCACCCTCCGTGAAGAGAACAAGACTTGATATGCATTAAGCATCTACATTTGCCAGCATTGGGCTCAGCCTTGGGTACGTATTATTTCATGTCATTCTGCCATCAGCCCTGTAAAGTAAGTAGGAGCTCTACCCCACGTGATGGATAAGGAAACTGAATTCAGAAAGCTTCAGTGAAAGGCCCAGGGTCCCACAGTTACCTGGGGAGAAAATCCGGATCCTGACCCCAGGCGGTCTGGATCCAGAGCCCCTGTTCCCATCAGCGTTCTGAACTGCTTAAAGCATGGGGCTTTGCCTTCTGCCATCATGTCGGGAAAATAAACCACCAGACTCAGGTTAGATGCTTAGAAAAGGGCTGCCTTTGCCGAGCTGGCCTCAGCCTTAGGTCACAGACCTGCTTTGGAGGATGTGGCACTCAATACTGTGTAGGGCTGCTGTTGAGGACAGTGCTGTCAGCTTGAGCACATTGCTGTGGCCCCTGTATAAAAGGCAGACAAGAGAAAAGCCTTGAGTTCTTCAGATCCAGAAAAGCCAGACTTCCCTTGCGCTCTTAATTTGCTTTCAATTTTGGAATGGTGAACATCTTGAAATTGATTGTTTCCCTTTTTGCTCTGGCCACTGGGAAGCTCAGACCACATGGACATCCCAGCTCTGTAAGCAGTAGTGTGCTTTAACATGGGTGATGTTTTATTTTCCTTTTCTCCTATTTTTTTATGACCGTTTCCTCATTAAAAAAAAAAATCCTATTGTTTTGTTGCTATCTTTGTTAGTTACTTTTTTAAGTTTATTATTTTCTGAGAGAGAGAGAGAGAGAGGGAACGAGGGAGGGGCAGAGAGAGAGAGAGAGGGAGAGGATCCCAAGCAGGCTCCACAGCTGTCAACACAGAGCCTGATACGGGGCTTGAACTCACAAACCGTGAGATCACGACCTGAGCCGAAATCAAGAGTCTGATGCTTAACTGAGTAAGCCACCCAGGCACCCCTAGTTATTTCTAATCCATTTCGGTGAAGGGCAAGTTTATAAATAAATATATACAGAGATTTACTCCAAGGATGCAAAGATGGTTCAACATCCACAAATCAATCAACGCGATGCACCACGTTAACAAAAGGAAAGATAACAACCATGTATCATCTCAATAGATGCAGAAAAAGCACTTGACAAAATTCAACATCCGTTTATGATAAACACTCTCAACAAAGTGGGTATGAACAGAACATACTGCAATATAATAAAGGCATGTCTGAAACGCCCACAGCTAATATCACACTCAGTGGTGAAAAGGAAGTGGTGATCTTCCTTTAAGATCAGGAAAGAGACAAGGATAGCCACTCTCACAATGCTTATTCAACAAAGTATTAGAAATGCTAGCCACAGCAATTAGGCAGGTAAAAGAAATAAAGGGCATTCAACTTGGAAAGGAAGAAGTAAACCTGTCACTATTGGTAAACAACATGATTTTATACACAGAAAACCCTAAAGACGCCACAAAAAACTATTAGAACTAATAAATTCAAAGAAGTTATAGGGTACAAAGTCAATATGCAAAGGTTGGCTGCATTTTTATATAGTAATGACAACCTATCAGAAAGAGGGACTAAGAAAACAATCCCATTTAGAATGGCATCAAAAAGAATATCATACCAGGGTGCCTGGGTGGCTCAGTCGGTTGAGCGTCGGACTTCAGCTCAGGTCACGATCTCACGGTTCGTGAGTTCGAGCCCCGCGTCGGGCTCTGGGCTGACAGCTCAGAGCCTGCAGTCTGCTTCAGATTCTGCGCCTCCTTCTCTCTCTGCCCCTCCCAGGCTCATGCTCTGTCTCTCTCTGTCTCTTATTAGTACATAAATGTTAAAAAAAAAAGAATAAAATACTTAGGAAAAAATATAACCAAAGAGATGAAAGGCCGGTACACTGAAAACTGAAAGATATTGATGAAAGAAATGGAAGAAGACACAAATAAACAGAACGATATTCCATGCTCACAGGTTGGAAGAATTAATGTTGTTAAAATGTCTAGACTACCCAAAGCAATCTACAGATTCAATGCAATGCCTGTCAAAACTCCAATGGCATTTTTCGCGGAAACAGAACAAACAACCCTAACATTTGTATGGAACCGCGGAAGATCACAAACAGCCAAAGCAATCTTGAGATCAAAGCCAGAGGCATCAAACTCCCTGATTTGAAATTATGCTACAAAGCTACAGTAATCAGGACTGTGGTCTTGGTATCGAGACAGACAGAAGTATCAATAGAGCAGAAGAGAGAACCCAGAAAAACACCCACGCATACAAGGTCAGTTAATTTACGACAAAAGGAGGTAAGAATTTACAGTGGGTAAAGGACAGTCTCTTCAATAAACAGTGCTGGGAAAACTGGACGGCCACATGCAAAAGAGTGAAACTAGACCGCTTTCTTACACCATGCACAAAAATTAACTCCAAATGTATTCAAGACCTAATTATAAGACCTGAAACCATAAAACTCCTAGAAGAAAACAGGTGGTGAACTCCTTGACATAGCTCCGGATGATGATTTTTTCCTGGAGCCAACCCCAAAGGCGAGGTGAACAAAAGCAAAAACAAACAGATGGGACCACATCTAACTATAAGTCTTCTGCATAGAAAAAAAAATTGGGGCGCCTGGGTGGCTCAGTCGGTTAGGCGTCCGACTCCGGCTCAGGTCACGATCTCGCGGTCCGTGAGTTCAAGCCCCGCATCGGGCTCTGTGCTGACAGCTCAGAGCCTGGAGCCTGCTTCGGATTCTGTGTCTCCCTCTCTCTCTCTGCTCCTTCCCCGCTTGTGCTCTGTCTTTCTCTGTCTCTCAAAAATGAATAAATGTAAAAAAAAAAAAAAAGGAGAAAAAAAATTAACAAAATGAAAAGGCAGCCTACGGAATGGAGGAAGCTATTTATAAACCATATACCCAGGGGCGCCTGGGTGGCGCAGTCGGTTAAGCGTCCGACTTCAGCCAGGTCACGATCTCGCGGTCTGTGAGTTCGAGCCCCGCGTCAGGCTCTGGGCTGATGGCTCAGAGCCTGGAGCCTGTTTCCGATTCTATGTCTCCCTCTCTCTCTGCCCCTCCCCCGTTCATGCTCTGTCTCTCTCTGTCCCAAAAATAAATAAACGTTGAAAAAAATAAATAAATAAATAAATAAACCATATACCCAGTAAAGGATTACTATCCAAAGCAAAGAAAGATAAGAATTCACACAAGTCAATATCGAAACAACAAACAATCCAATTTTAAAATGGGCAGAGGATCGGAACTTTTTTTTCCCAAAGAAAACAGACAGGTGGGCAACGGGCCCACGAAAAGAGGCTCATCACCACCCATCACCAGGGAAATGCAAATCAAAACCACGAGGAGATACCACTTCACACCTGTCAGAGTGGCTAGAATCAAAAAGACAAGAGCCAGCAGGTGTTGGCCAGGACGTGGAGGAAAGGGGACCCTCGCGCCCTGCTGGGGGGAACGCACACCGGCACAGCCACCGTTCTTGGATATTGACCCAAAGAAAACACAAACGCTACTTTGGGAAGATATCTGCACTCTCGTGCCCACTGCAGCGTTACTCGCAACAGCCAAGCTACGGAAACAGCCTCAGTGTCCACGGATGGATATATGGGTAGAGAATACGCAGTGAATGGATACAGAGTAATACTGCTCGGCCATTACCCAGAAGGAAATCTGCCATTTCCGACAGCGCAGATGGACCTTGAAGGCATCACACGAAGTGACGTAAGTCAGACAGAGAAAGACAAACACTGGATGATTTCACTCACATGTGTAATCTAAAAAACAGGACAAATAAAACCAAACAAAACGCACAGATAACGGAGAACAGCTTGGCGGTGGCTGGCCGCGGGCCGGGTAGGAGGCCGAATGGATGAAAACGATCAAGAGGTACAAACATCTAGTTGTAAAATGAATGAGTCACGAGAATGTCATGTTAAGCGTCCGACTTCGGCTCAGGGCATGATCTCGCGGTCCGGGAGTTCGAGCCCCGCGTCGGGCTCTGTGCTGATGGCTCAGAGCCTGGAGCCTGCTTCGGATTCTGTGTCTGCCGCTCTCTCTCTGCTCCATCCCCACTCGTACTCTCTCTCTGTCTCTCAAAAACAAATAAACGTTAAAGAAAACTGTTTAAGTAATACTATCGAGGTGTGTATTTGACAACTGCTAAGAGAGCAGATCCGGAGCATTCATCAAAAGAAAAGAAAAAGTTTTTGTGACTGTGGCGTGACAGTAATTACACAGTAGCAATTATCGTGGGGATCATTTCACAACATATACAAGTATCGCCTCCACAGGCTAGAACCTGAAACGGACGCAATGTTCTGTGTCCGTCTGCGTCAACGAAAAGCATTTTGATCGAGAAATAAATGCGCACACGAAAAAGGAGTGACGATACTATCGTTCGATCAGGCGCTGTTAGCAGGTGGAACTGGGTGGATATTTCTCCGTTGGGGGCCGTCCTGTGCCCTGAAGGACGCTTGGCAGCCGGCCTGGCCTCCATCCGCCAGATGCCAGGAGCAGCCCCCGCCCCGCTGTGACAACGGAAGAGGCCCATTGCTAAATGTGTCTCGGCGGTAAACTTGCACGCGGTTAAAAACCTGCACTCTCGCACTGCTCCTTGAAGGCAGGCCGAGGGCGGTTTAGGACAACAACCAAGGCCTGCTTGGGGCTGGAACTTGGGCCGGGTAAGAACCCCCGGCTGGAGAGGGCACGTCTTCAACGCTCCAGGCTTCCCAGCACACAGAGCTCTTACCGTCTCGTCCCCCACGGCAGCCCCACGGGGTCAGACTTAGGTCCTCATTTCACAGATAAAGGCACTGGGGTCCAGAGAGGCTGAGTGAGCAGCCCGACATCACACAGCAAGAGGGTAACGGGGCAAAGGACACAAGGGCCGAGCAACCTCCCTGCCTCTGACGGAAGCTGAGAAGAACAGAGAGTGACCACTGTGAGAGAAGGGACGTGCGCTGGGGCCGGAGGCACAGGTCAGACCTGACTGGGCAGGGGGGAAGCCCAGGGAGGGAAGTCCCGGCAAGGGAAAGGCACAGCGGCAGGCACCAGAACAGCTTTCTTAGGAACGGGGACTCCCCAGAGAACTGAAAACCTGCCCGGAACGTTCATGGCAGCACTATTAACAATAACCGAAAGGTGGAAACAACTCAAGGGTCCATCCACGGACAAACCCATGACTATGCGGTCCGTCCACATCAGGGACATTACTCGGCCGTAAAAGGAATAAAGCTTGACACACGCCCCGATGCGGACGATGTTCCGTGAAAGAAGCCGGACACACAACGGGCCGCATTTTGTCTGATTCCATTTACATGCGGTGTCCGGGAGGGGCAGATCCATAGGGACAGAAGGCAGGGGAGGGGAGGGGGCAGGGGGACTGGAGGTGACAGAGAAGGGGGAAGGGGTGCTTTTCGAGATGACGAGAGCATTCTCAACCTGGCTCTACTGACCGC